CTGAATTCAAAGTATGTGCTCAGCCATTTGAGCTCTCTAGTTGTAATTTTATTTGTTTACAGTATTTAGCATTTTAATTTCTGGTCCAGACATTTTATTCTTTGTTTGAACTTAAATTCTGAACTTTCAGTATTAGAAGGACAAACATATATTAACTCTGGTATTTATAAAGATTGACAGCTAGATCATTTGCTATATGCTATATTTGCCATATGCACATAAATCATATGAAGAAAAAATTGTTCTTCCCTCCTGGTATATATCGGGAGGATAATATGTGCTCCTGGCGCAGACAAATGCTGGCCAAGGATGTCCAAGCAATCTCTGATCTCCTAAGATTTAGAGATGTCAGTGGCATTTGAATGATGTGATCCTGGTTTTAGATCAGTGGCTTAGGGGAATAGAATTTCATATTCAGAGTTCTTTTTCTCCTCAGCCTAAATTCCTATAGTGTATGGTTTGTAGCCAGTGCCTGATTGGCTTGCAAAAGCTTTTCTTAGTTGAATTTTCATCATTTCTACAAGCTTTTCCTTTATTCACTCTTTCCAGTGTCACTGAATATGGTCAATCTTTAATCTACAACTATGAGTTAACAAATGGAACCCATCGGTAAAGTTACCTCATCATCAGATAACTTGCTTTGTAGCTTTATAAATTTTTCAGTGAGGCATTATATCCAAATTCTCATACTCCAAACCAAGGAAGGGATGAGTGTTTGATGATTGTGTGGTTGTAACCTAAACATGAAGGCTGTAACTATCTCATGGTGATTCAATAAAATTTAAAAAAAAAAGTGTTGGAATAAATTGGCTTTTGGTAAAACACTTTTTTTTTTGGAGGGGAGGGAACTAATTTCTCTTTTTACTAATATTGATCTACTTTCACAATTTTTATAGCCTGGGATTAGAGAGATTGTACAACAGATAATGAATTTGCCTTGTTTGCAGTGGACCTTGGTTCAATCCCTGGTTATATATATGGTCCTCTGCGTATCATCAGACATAGTCCCTCAACAGAATCAGGAGTAAACCCTCAGTAAATCCGGTGTGGTCCATCACCACCCCTGCCTCCAATCTTTATACTCTTGTTCGCTTATGTATTTAACCTTTCCAATAGGAAAGTTCACCATGTTTCTGCTTTTTCAGCTTTCAATTCCTTTATATATAATCTGAGAGGATCACTACATTTCTAGAGACCTCTGTTCCTTATCTCTGTTCTCTCCTTATTCCAACTGGTCCATCCAGAGTCTATATAACCCTTCCTAAATATGTATCCTACCTTCTTAGACATAATCAGCAAAATTACATGAAAAATGAAAATTAGACTAAAAGCTTTGAGCAGTTACCCAAGTCACTCTTTATTTTATGAAGAACCAGTAAAAGAGTTGTATACAGAGAGAAAGTGATTTACCAAAGGCACAATTGAGAGCTGTAGAGTGTTGGTACTACAATAGAGTGTTGATCTGTGTTCTACTGTTGTGATAGTACAACTATCTCACTGAACTTTCTCTTGGATTGTCTTAACCCTCTAATATAGCTATGCTGGTAAATTCTTACCTTTTATCTTTTAGAACCTGATTTGTCTGTACCTGCTCTCCCAGACATTCAATATACTTTCTTCTTTGCTTTTGTGTATGGTCCTTCCTCTGTATAGAATATCCCAGTCCCTTGCAATTTATAATAATGAAGTTTGTACTTGTCGACATACTAAGCACTGCTTTAAGCATTATTTGGCTCTTATTCAATCCTTCATAGTTCAATGGGAAGCCTAGTATGATTATAATTTTATGGACATAAAGACTAGAGAAATATCAAGTGACTTACTCAAGATCTTTTGGGTTAGTGTTTGGCAGAGACTGGATGTAATCTGAACAATCTATTCCTGTAACCTAAACTGATTCCTTCATCAGACTAACTTGCCCTCAAGGAATATATTCCAGTTCCAAGACAAAGACTTACTCTCCTTTGTGAACCTTTGCACAGTGACCACTACATCAGAGAGGTAACCATAATATTCCATGTCGTGGCTTCCTAATTGGAAAGGGACAGATGCAAGCTAAGAAAGCAATAATGGGGGCCAGTGCCATTTTACAGTGACTAGGGGTTTTGCCTTGTAGGCGGCTGACCTTGGTTTGCTATCTGACATCCCATATGGTCTCCTGAGCCCTCCCAGGAGTGACTCCTGGGTGCAGAGCCAGAAGTCACCCCTGAGCAACACGGCATGTAACCAAATAAAATTAAAAGCAATAAAAGGAATACTGGTTTGTTGATAACGGTACTGAGATTGGTCAGGGTTTACATCTTAACTTTCACCGAGGAAGGGCTCCTGAAGTTTGTGATGTCAAGATCATCTTTGAGCTTTTTTTTTATCTTAATTTGCAAAATCAATATGAGGTTGTGGCAGACATTATGAAAGTTTATAAAATGTAGAACACTTTAAGGCCCTGGGTTTGATCCCCAACATGATCCCCCCAAACCATACTTTAGTAGTTGGTTCATAACAAACTAGAATGTTATTACTCAGTCTTAGATGTCATTGTTTAAATTTTGGGGAGGGGAGTATGGGGTGGTGTTGGGGAGCTTGAGCCAGAAGAGTTCAGGAGCTGTTCCTGACTCTGCTCAGCAGTGACCCCTGGTGGTGTTCAAGGTGAGCATATGTGGTATCAAAGACTCCACAACTGGAGTTGGCTGAATGCAAGACAAGCAACTTACCTCTTACCTCTGTAGCCCACAGATACTAAGTTTTATACCAGCAAAGGTGTCAGCAATGTCCTTGAGCAAGCCAATGAGCAGAGCATCGCTTCTGAAAGGAAGAGATAAAGAACCAAAAGACAAAACTTGGAACATTCTGGGAACTTATTGAGGAGGAAAGGTGTTAAGAATGAGACAGTAGTCCTTAAATTAAATTTTTTAAAATGCTAGCTTCTGTGTAGCTGAGATATTTCTATTAGTAAGAAAAAATTCTATCTTATTTGGAATGGTTTAATGTGGGATGATGATGAGCCTCACAAGTGGGAAACATATAAAACAAGATTCCAGAGAGTTAATGGACATGTGTAGTAGAGTTAAGAGCACGGATGACTGCTGTTACACTGGTTACGCAGATTTGGACTCTTATGAACATAGTACCTGGCACATAGTAAATACAGTAAATTTTGGGTGCAAGGCCTAATATTTTGAGTATGGGTGAAGTAGAATGGCAGTAAGAACAACGGAAGAGGTTACTACTTTGCTCCTTTCTGACCGCTTAATGTCTTTTGTATGGATTCTTTTTCCAAAGTGTTCCTAGACTCTAGAAACTATTTCTAAGACTAAAAATAAATGTATGGGCTGTATAAAGGGAAATTTATGTTTCATCAGGGATTACATAGTCCAGCAAACAAACACAAGACCTCAGTTTACTGTGGAGAATAAGAGGGATTTAAAGATAGCATGAAGAGGAAAATAAATCTGCAAATGATTGGTGGACCCACTAAAGATAAAACAGTGTAAAACCACATGTTCACATAGTGTTTTATTTTAAGAGCTAGTGGACTAAAACAATCCTGGGCTGTATTACTCAGGTAGGATTTTTAAAAATATTAGAAGGGTAGAATGATGGCTGGTGCTGCATGCTGGAAAAGAGATAAAACTTATAATTCTATAACTTAAAAGGAGGTATATCTGGAAATCAGTCGCTATTATAGCTTTTAGTAGAGTATGGATTGAGTACTTACAATGAACTGGACACGTTCACTTATCTTATTTACTAAATGACTGGCTTGGGTATTTTTAATTTTTCAAATGCAGGAGAACAGTACATAGAATTTAGAATTGTTCCGCAATCCTATTTCCAAATCAGATGCTTATTCAACTTATGTCACAATAACTGATGTAAACATTAGATATTTTTTAGTGCTTTAAGAAGTGAAACAAACATTTCAGGTATTTCAGATATTCAGGCTTGGACCAGAAGTGGTTGTACATCATATAAAGAATTGCCTCGAATGCAGTTGACCTGCGTTCAATCTCTAACACCACATATGACCCCCACAGCACTACCAGGAGTTATCTACCAAAAAAGAAATAAATAAGATTCAGCCTTAATTAAATGTATTAAGTAATAGCAAGGAACCAAATATAATCTATTTACGTAAGAAATCATCTTCATTCCAAATCCATAGTTGTCCTTTTTATGTTTCACTACATCCCTTCCCCACACCAGAACCAACACTGAAGATTAGGTCTCATATATGAACTGTCACTGTCACTGTCACTGTCCTCCCATTGTTCATCGATTTGCTCCAGCGGGCCCAGTAACATCTCCATTGTGAGACTTGTTGTTACTGTGTTTGGCATATCGAATACATCACGGGTAGCTTGCCAGGCTCTGCCGTGCGGGCGAGATACTCTCGGTAGCTTGCCGGGCTCTCCGAGAGGGGCGGAGGAATCGAACTCAGGTCGGCCATGTTGGCTGCATGCAAGGCAAACGCCCTACCGCTGTGCTATCGCTTCAGCCTCATATATGAACATGCATTAGAATTACCTCTAGGACTTGTTAAGAAGGTTTAGTAGGTTTGTTGTCACATTTCAGATGGTGGTTCCCTAGTGATGTTAAGACATTAAGAACTATTGATAAGAAGAATGCATTATATCATTGATTCTAGGGAGGAGCAGGTAGGAAGATAGTCTGAGAAGGGAATTCCATGACCACAGATGGAAATTTGAAATTCAGATTCTTTCTAAAACTAAGTAAGTTATACTTAGACATTCATCACTGAATTTGGAATCCATAATATTTGTATGCTCATATACTTTATTTTTAGAGAATTCTTTGGATTACAAAAGAAATCAAGAAGGATAAATGTCTATGTATATATTGAAATTCAGTGACATTTAAAAACCACAACAGGTTATATGTTTTTTTTTCTAAATAACTAAAAATAATGTGATTATTTGATATGTATGGACTTTCTTAAATATATGTTTTCTCTCTTCCTCTCTCTCTTTTGGTCTCTGTAGGTGGCAAATCTTCCAAAAGACTACATGATATCTCTCAAATATGTCCCCGGGATGGAGGTATTGGTATGTATATTTCTGAGTTCATTATAATAGCTACAAAAGAAATGCTATTATTCTACTTGGATGGGAAATTGACATTTAGAAACCTGTTTATTATCACTTTATAAAGAGGATATCTTTGAGATTTGAACTTTATTTATTTTCTTTGAGTATACTGCCAACTTTTAATTATTGGTGAGCATTTTATTGTATGTGTCTTAGTATTCTCCAACATCATAAGGTCATTTTTAGAGCTAGCCACAAGATTCCTTTTGCTTTATTCCCCCCAAAGAGTCTTAATACAAAAGTATCACTGTCACTGTCCTCCCGCTGTTCATTGATTTGCTCGAGCGGGCCCAGTAACGTCTCCATTGGAGACTTTGTTGTTACTGTGTTTGGCATATCGAATACATCACGGGTAGCTTGCCATCTCTGCTGTGCGGGCGAGATACTCTCAGTAGCTTGCCGGGCTCTCCTAGAGGGGTGGGGGAATTGAACTCGGGTCGGCGATGTCAGCTGCGTGCAAGACAAACGCCCTATCGCCGTGCTATCGCTCCAGCCCAATACAAAAGTATGCAATTGTTTTATATATCTGAAAATGTGATACACATCTCTTTCTATTTAGTTTGGAGGACACAAAGTGGTTTATTTCTGAATTTATTAGCAGTTTGTTGCTTCTTAGGATCTTATAAAAATGCTTGGCTATATTGATGGCCTTCTGTGATCTTATACTTTTACTGAAAACCATGCATATGTGCATTAAGATTACATGGATTTTCATCTTTGTATCTTATGTTATCATTGCATTTTATATATCATCCTGTGACTTATTTTTATTTTGTAATATGTCTTTGGCATAAAATGGTAGTAATGATCATTTTAGTCCTATAAAGTGTTTCATGCTGCTTGAATTAAAGCCATTTTAAGTAGTCTCTCTGCTCTGTAAACCCATTCCATAATTTACTAAACACTTATTTCACATCTACCTTTTGTATAATTTTAGACTTTCAGTAATTTCTGTGGATTAACAAACTACAATCTTTCCCAAGTAAAGTTTATTAGGAATACCAACAAATTATTGTACTTTATAATGTCTTTAGATGATATAAGTGTAATGTGTAAAGATTATCATCATTTTAAGAAAATTATCCAGGTGTATTTCTTTTCATTCATTTTACAAAGCACTTTAGTATGAACTCTCTAAAGTTTCTTAGAATTCCTTAGAGCATGTATCTTCATGTTGGATTAATTATCCTCAAACTTGGGTCACTGTCTACCCTATAGAAGTTTAGGAGAGAAAAATAGGAATGTAAAATTATAGCTGAGGACTGAAGAGATGGTACAGCAAGTAAGGTGCTTGCCTTGAATGTGGCTGATTTAGGGTCAGTCTTTGGCATCCTATTAAACATACTTTCCCCAGTTACTGCCAGGAGTGATCCCTGAACCCATAAGATATACCATAAGGTATACATACCCATAAGGTATGTATTTATATATATACATATATATTTATAGTGTACTATATATAATTTATGTACACTTATACAAAAATAATCAAACACACAAACACATATAGCCACTTGAAAAGTAATTAATAGCATCAATAACTTCATCAGCAAGTATTTGTTCAGGAAAAATTAGGGAACCAACATAAGGCTTTTTGATCATAGGTTAACTGAAGTGTGCTTGTTTTTTAAATTTTAGTAAAAACCAGGAAATGATGGCTGCCCTTTTTTAATTTTTTTTAAAATTTTTATTAGTGAAACTAATAAAAACAGGGCTGGAGCAATAGCACAGCGGTAGGGCATTTGCCTTGCACGCAGCCAACATGGCCGACCCGAGTTCGATTCCTTCGCCCCTCTCGGAGAGCCCGGCAAGCTACCGAGAGTATCTCGCCCGCACAGCAGAGCCTGGCAAGCTACCCGTGATGTATTCGATATGCCAAACACAGTAACAACAAAGTCTCCAATGGAGACGTTACTGGGCCTGCTCAAGCAAATTGATGAACGGGAGGGCCTTTACCTTTACCTATTAGTGAAACACCATGAGGTACAGTTGTAGTTTTACAAATTTTTGTGCTTGGGTTTCAGTTATACAATGATCAAGTACCCATCCCTCCATCAGTGCCCATTTTCCACCACCACGGGTCCCAGTATCCCAAGTGGCTGCCCTTTTAATAACACTTTCCCATTTTCAAAATCATTTCATACACTTATCCTTTTGAGTGACAGGAAAGTCCAATGAGAAGAGGGAGACTAACTACCAGAGTTCCTACTGTAGAAATCACATGCTGCCCTTTACAACCCAGAAGCATTTGGCCCAAGGTTATACAACTAGAAAGCGATAGTCTTAAAAAGAAATCCCTAAATCATTTGGTTCTTAACCCTGGGTCACAGACTGTGGGTGTATCTAAGTAATGACAATAGTAAGAGAAAGTAATAAAAATCCATCCCACTTGAAGAAGGTTTTAGGTTTAAGATTGCCAAATCTACTCGACAAAAAAAAAAAAATTATGCTGCTCTCTGAAAAAAAAGGTGTTAAATTGAAAGTAACAAAACATGATTTTGTGTTGGTATAATCATAGATAGTGCTAAGTCATAGATTTCAGTATTGGCTGGTGAGAGCAAGAGCCAAACTTGTGAAAAAGAACACTAATTCATTGCCACATAGTTTTGCTTGTAATTGAGAAAAGTCCACTTTTTTTTTCTTTAATCTTGGCACACTGTCCTGGCACAACTGGAGAAATTGTTCTTGGCTACCACAGTTGGCAATAAAAACAAAGCTCGTGTACTGTGCTCTAGGCAGAGCGGGGGTCTTAAGCTTTGTTTCACCTCATTTTGAAATGTTAGCTTCTGCCAAAACCACAGGAGTTTCCCAGTGGAGAGGCCCCTTATTATTTGTCCCTGGTCACAGTCCCAGCTGCCTTATCTTTTGTTTAGAAACAATAGAGGGTGGAGTGGGAGTCAGGGTGGGTACCAGAAAGCTTCTCTGGGGCCAAAGCAATAAAATTGTGCCTGAGGCATTGGGCAGAAGTAAGCTCTTGAATAGAATGTACTTGATTTTTTTTCACTTTGGTATTTAAATGCAGCAAAATACTCCTGAAAAGTGAAGGCTGCTTTTCTAAAGGTTTTCTTTACCTTGCAGATTTCTCTCTCACAAATAGCTGAGTGAGAAGGACCAGTTGGTATTAAAATCAAGGGGTATTTACCAGTTTTATTTTCAACTTTAGCAAACTATGATAGTACTAGGGTTTCCTTTAAAGTTTCTAGCCTTTAAAACCTTAAGCATCCAGTTCTTTACACTTACTAGTTATCTATATAATGCGCTTATGTAGATGACAAAATTTGAGTTGCTGATTTGTTACACTTCTGTAAATATTCTAACCTTTATAAAATCATATACACAATAGATACCTTGTATTTGATGAAATGCTATCAATTTTTAATGAAAATAAGTTACATATTAATGAGTTTCACTATATATCAAGTTATTAATATATAACTTTATATATTATTGATTATATGATTAATTATATAATTAATAATTGTATAATTATATGATTAATTATATGATTATTATATAACTTTTTATTTGGAAATATTTTCAGGTTTGCAGTAAAGTTGTAAGAATGTTCATAGAATACTCGTAGATCCTTTACTACAGATTCATCTATCTTTTATCATTTGACCACATTTGCCTCACTAATACTTGTTTTCTGTGCATGTATGTGTCTGTTATTTTTTTAAGTCTGTAAAATAAGTCGTATAAATCATGGCTGTTTAATTTACCCCTAAATATTTCAGTGTGTATTTCCTAAAATTTTCTCTTACATAACCATAGTATTGTTGCCAGCTTCAATAAATTTAGCAATGACTAAAATACTTCAATTTATTGGCTGTCTTTCAAATTTTTTTTAATTCTTCATTTCTTTTCCTCTAGTACAAGATTCCATCTAGGATCATGATTTGCATTTACATATCATGTGTAGCTGGCAGGATAATGGTTCCTCAAAGATGTCTCAAGCTGTGAATCTAAAACCTTACAAGGCACAAGGGATTCTGTCTGTGTAATTAAGGGTATGAGGAGGGAGAAATTAACCTGAATTATCCAGGTGGGATCAGTCTAATCATATGAATCCTGTTAAGAGTCAGAACTGTCAGAGGCAAAGAGAGGGATTTGAAGATGTTACACTTCTGGCTTTGAAGATGAAAGAAGAGGTCACAAGCCGAGGAATGTCAATAGCCTCTAAGAATCTAGAAAATTCACTGATACAGATTCGCCTATAGACAACACACCTAATTTTTAAAAAAAATTTACCTATAAGAACTATTTTGGATTTTTGATTTTTAATAACTGCAAAATGATTAATTTGTACTTTTTTTTACAGTTATGGTACAGCCAATAAATTCAGGGTAACTGATATATCATATCTTCAACTTTAAAACTTACTTAGTCTTAGTGTCACTAATATTTTTTAAAGATAGCCCTCCTCCTTAAATGATGTAAGAATATTACTGTAGCACTATCCTCCCGTTGTTCATCAATTTACTTGAGCAGGCACCAGTAACATCTCACAACAAACTGTAAGACTTGTTGTTACTGTTTTTGGCATATCAAATTTGTCACGGGTAGCTTGCCAGGCTGTGCTGCGGAGGAGATATTCTTGGTAGCTTGCCAGTTTCTCTGAGAGGGGCAGAGGAATCGAACCCGGGTAGGCTGCGTGCAAGGCAAACGCCCCACCCTCTGTGCTAGCGCTCTTATTTATTAAAATGATATCTCCGCCAGAAGCAATTTGATGGTTATTTGTTATGTTTCTACCCAGATTATGCATTCTAAGCAATGATGCTATCTAAATGATGTAGCCTCAGTGGTACACAGTTTCCTTTGCTCCCTCATTGGATCATTTTTTTTTTTGATCATTGATTAACTGGTGCAGCTATTTCTTTATATTTATCATTAGGCAACTAAATCATAATATTTGGGAAGACACCTTAAGATCATGTTGCCCTCTTGCTCCTTCTCAA